CATACAAGGGCGAACAGTCTTAAAATGATTGTTGTTGTTGTTGATGTTGTTGTTGATGATTGTTGGTTGTTGTTCGTTGCTTGTTGATGCTGCTGTTGTGAATGATGAGTGTAGGCTTACCGCTGCTCGGGGTGTTTTGTTCCGTCTAGTTTTTTTCGGCCTCGGAAACGCCTCGAGGAGCCTCCGAAGAGCTTCCGAAGGGCTTCTGAAGGCTTCGGAGGCGCTTCAGAAGGGCCTCGGAAGAGCACCAGAAGGGCTCTGAAGAGTTTGAGAAGGGCCTCGGGAAAGTTCGAGAAGCTTCCGGAGCGCCTCTGAGGAGCAGCTCGTTTTTCATGGGCCTCTCTCTCGGAAGCCGCAACTAACTACGGCAACGACCCGTCTCAGCACTCCGCGTCTGAGTTATCAACTCGACGCCTTCGGGCCGCTCTCTCGGCAGCTTGTCGCGGCGCCCCCTCGAGTGCACACCTCGGTGTCAACCGTTGGAGAGAGGCCCTCGCCTGGACCTGCGCGGGAAACTCGGGGTCGGTCTCACCGAAGAGAGGGCTCGACTGCACGAGCTCGGGCTCGACGGCTTGCAGCTGCGACTCGGCGTCATGGAGGCGCGACCCGACGTCCCGGAGCTGGCTTTCCTCGACCTGGGAGTTCTCGAGGTGGGAGTCAGCGACCTCGAGTTGGGAGTCAGCGGCCCCGGGCTGGTTGTCCTCGGGCTCTTCGTTCTCGGGCTGCGGGGCCAAGGTGCTGCTGAGATGCTCGCGCTTCTCCTCGCTGTCGCTGCTGCTCTCGACTGCCTCGATCTCCGTCTCGCGCTTCTGCGCGAGTTTCTTGTCCTCGAGCTTCTTATGATTGTCTTACCGTCCTCAAGCTTCTTGACCTTCAGCTTCCTGTCCCCGAGCTTTTCAATCTGTGCTGGGTTGCCCGCGGGTTGCGTGTCCTGCTCGAGCTCGCTCGACTCGAAACGGTCCTGAGGCTCGCTGACCTCGAGAGCCTCTCTCGCGGCGCCGTTGTCGAGCTTCTCGTCGTAGGAAGTTCCGCTCGGCAGGCTGAGCATTCGCGGCTGGCGGTTGCTCGATCTCGATCTTCATTGGGATTTTGGTTTGCGCGCGTCGGGTAGCTCGCCTTCTTGACAACAACATGCTTGGACATCGAAGCCTTGGATTCTTGGCACGCGCGTGGGCCGCCCTCGAACCCGTGAAGCAAAATGAGCAACGGACACGGCGTAGCTCGAGGCTCTCGGCTCGAGGCTAGAAGTTCCGAAAGGCTGCGGAGGGCCTACGAGTGGCCTCGGAAAGCCTCCGAGTGGCCTCGGATAGCTTCGGAAGCGCTGACGACGAGACGGCGACGACGACGACGACGGACGAGGATCGCATCGTCGAGGCTCGATCCTCGATCCCTGGATCGAGGATTCAAGATCCTCGCACCTGGGATTATAGAGCTTGCGATATATAATGAACGACGACCCAAAAATCCTCGATCCCTGATCCAGGGATCGAGGACAGAGCCTCGACGATGCGATCGATGAGGATCCTCGGATCGAGGCTTGAGCCTCGACGATGAAGCGCTCGTTTGCGGGTGGCTCGTGACGCTCGGGCGCCACCCGCGGCATCTGTCGCAGACTTCGCCTGTTAGAAAATTGAGCGGTCTCGACTAGCCGCACACGAGGAAAGGTCGCTCGATACGCTCGGAGAGAGCGTGGTCTTCTCGTCGGACTTTGTGCTGTTGAGGCCTCCTCGTTGGATTTCTTGGTTAGCTCCTGGTGGTCATTGTGAGTCTTCTTTGCCGCGTTCTCGGCATTTAGCTCGGCGCACCGGGCCATGATCTCGCTTTAGGCGGCCTTTAGGCGGGACATTAGTACTCGACGAGCCGCTCGAGGAGTAGTTTGTCGGCATCGTCCATCTTTTTCTCAGCTTCCTCGTGGCGCGCTTGGCCATGTAGTCGCGCTCGCTGAGCTTGTAGGCTGCGGTGTTGGCCTCGGAGATGTGCCAGCACCACTTGACCGCGGCGTTCGTCTTGTTCTCGCGGTCGTTTTCGCTCGTCGAGATGCAGTTGTCTTTGGCCTTGGCCCACTTGAAGTACCGTTCGACTTCCTCAGGCAGGTTGTTCACCGTCTCAAAAGTCTCGGCACGCTCGGTGTCGATGCTCGTCATCACGGGCTTGAAGCGCTTGTTCAGGGGAAGCATGATCGAGTAGATAGTTTTGAAGTTTCGGGTGTTGTCGCCGAGGGCGCTCCTGATGACGTCGGAATAGTTGCCTTGGCTCATCTTGTGCAAAACTTCGGACCCCAGCTCGAGGTCTCTGGTGCGGCCCGCCTCGCACATCTCGGTCTTGAAGCTCGGGAGAAGATTGAACAGCCCGTCACCGTTCTCGCGGAATGAACGGCCCGTCGCCGTTCTCGCGGCGTTCTTCGAATGGGTTGTAGAGCACCTTGGGCTTCCCGACGAACGACTCGTAGAACATTGCCGCGATCGTCTCAGCCAGCCTCCTGCCTTTCTCGGCGAACATCCCTTGGTACATGCTGCTCGCCAGGCTGCCCGTGTTGTAGATGGCCTCGAGGATGGCCGACTGGGTGTTCTTCGACCACAAGGGGGATTGGCCTCGGACGTAAGTGTTGGTCATTCTCGAGGCGTCCGTCGCCTCGCCTGCAAGCTGGCATTGGGGGCATCTCGGCGCAGCTCGCTTTCTCGGTCAGGCAGCCGAGGAAAAGAACGGTCTGCTCGCCTTGCCCGACCAGCTTCTTGAACCAGCTCGGCCATCTTGCCGACCTGGTTCCTGGAGACCCCTGCGTGCCCCGAGCTTTTGGAGAGCGCCATATCGCTCGGGGAAGCTCGGCGGGTAGCTGGGGAAAGCTCCGCAAGAGCTCGCCAACCGCTTCGGCTCGAACACCGCTTGGACCTCGAACAGCAACGGGGAGGGAGGAAGGTGATGGGAAGGGAGAAACTCGAACGTTCAGCTTGAGGCATCCTCGAACACTCGATAGGTAGTCGCGAACTCGGCGAATCTTCGAATATGTGCGTTGCGCCTGACACATCCTCACAATAACGGCACGTTCGCGACAGCTAAGTTTTACGAAAACAAGCGTTCTGCTTGAGACATCATCGAACAAGTGTTTGTCTCGAACTCAGCGACTCGTCGATAACGTTGGTTTCGCTTGAGACGACCTTGTAACGATGACATGTTTGCGACAGTGTCTCTTACAAAAAACCAGTGTTTGCTTGAGACACCATCAAACACGTATCATTGCGGATTCGGCAAATATGCGAAATTGTGCGTTTCGCCTAAGACATCCTCAAACATGCTAACATGGATGATTAATGGTGCTATGTGCGAGATGGAAACCAAAGCTACGACAGGAACGTTGGAGGGGAAAGTAATACCGTTCGGCATCCCCGCCTGCTGTTTCAATTGAACCACATTCCATCCTGTGGATAACGAGATACACGGGGACAAAGGGGTGGGATGCTTCATTATCTGGGGAGCGGGGTTAAACACCTGTTGCGGAGCTCCCTGTGGAGTCACGACGCGTGTGAAGAGTAGGCCGATTTGGGCGGGGGGGCACATGCGAACCTTGTCGCAGGAGCTTCGGTGGAGCTCCCCGTGGGGCCACGAAACGTCTGAAGGTTACGAAAACATCTGCGGGGGGGGGGGGGTCGCATGCGAATCCTGCCCCAAAAGCCTTCGGTGGAGCTTCCTGTGGAGCCACGACGCGTGTGACGGGTGCTCAGACATAGGCGGGGGGACGGGCGCAAACCTTGCCACAAGATTTTTCGGTGGATCTGCTTGTGGGGCCGCGAAGCGTGTGAGGGCAGGCACATACTGAGGGCAGTTGCAAGGATGGGAGGGAGGAGGGAGCCCGACAAAGAGGAGGAGGAGGAGGAGGAGGAGGAGGAGGAGGAGGAGGAGAAGGAGGAGGAGGAGGAGGAGGAGGAGGAGACCAGCGGGAGGAGGAGGGATGAGGAGCGGGAGGAGGAGGGAGGAGGAGAAAGCAGCAGGGAGGAGGAGGGAGCGGGAGAGGGAGGATGAGGAGGGAGGGAACGGTAGGAGGGAACGGGAGGAGGAGGAAGGAGGACGTGGGGCGTTGCCTCCTTCAAGGCGAGAACCAAACACCACAGGATGGCTTCGAGCCGTGGCGTCCGTGTTGAGCTTGGGCCTCTCGGCGCTCTCCTCGCCTGGAGCCAGAGACCCCATATCTTCCTGCGGCATTCCTCGGGCCTGGCCTGAAGCAGGGCACACTCGCGCGCTGTGGAGAAGCTGCAGGACGCCAGGATCTCAGGGCCTGGCCGAGCCTACGTGAGGGCCCCCAGGCCCCCCCACCCACCCACACACGCACACGCACACACAGACACAGACACGCACACACAGCAGAGACTGCCGGCGCGCCACCTTCACGGCCCGAAGGGGAGTCCTGGGCCCCTTTTCGCGCTCTCGGCGGCCCTTCCTCCCTTCGGCGGCGCGCCGTGGGGGGGGCGTGAGGGGGAGCAGGCCTCCTCAGGAGGCGGCGGAGCTGCTCAGAAGACCCCTGGAGGAGGAGGAGGAGGAGGAGGAGGAGGAGGAGGAGGAGGAGGAGGAGGAGGAGGAGGAGGAGGAGGAGGAGGAGGAGGAGGAGGAGGAGGAGAGAGGAGGAGGGAGGGAGGAGGAGGAGGAGGGAGGAGGAGGAGGAGGAGGAGGAGGGAGGAGGAGGGAGGAGGAGGAGGAGGGGGAGGGGGAGGGGGAGGAGGAGGAGGAGGTGGAGGAGGAGGCTCGGCAAGCTCCTCAAAAAGCCCGAGGCCTCCCGAGCCTTCTGAGCAGGCCGCCCCATCTCGGACGCCTGTTGGTTTGGGGGCCACAGCTCGGCCCTCCAGCGACCGTCCGGGACGATCCAGACATCCCCAGGACGCTTTCGGCGAGGCTGGGACACCGCCGAGAACAGACGAAGACGTCCGACCGCCTAGAACCTCAGAGCTCGAGCCCCTCCTGCTGCCCCCCCACCCCGGTCTCGCCGCCGATCCCTCCCCCCCGGGCCCGAGGCCACCGCGTCGTTCCGCCGCGAGAGCTCCGCGGCGGAGGCGGGCCGCACCCGCAGCTCTTCGTCCTCGGCGGCGCGCTCCCCCGCCCCCGCGTCGAGCGCGGCGAGCCCGCCCGCCGCCGCGCCGCCCGACGAGGAGGAGCTCCGCGGGCGAGGGGTGCGCGGGCGAAGGGTCCGAGGAGGAGGAGGCGGAGGAGGAGGAGGAGAAGGAGGAGGAGCAGGACGAAGAGGAGGAGGAGGAGGAGGAGGAGGAGGAGGAGGACGAAGAGGAGGAAGAGGAGGAGGAGGGGCAGGATAGCGAGGAGAACGAAGAGTAGTAGGAGGAGGAGTAGGACGAAGAGGACGAGGAGTAGGAGGGGGAGGACAGCGAGGAGGAGGAGGAGGAGTACGACGCAAAGGATGATGAGGATAGAGGATAGCGGAGGATGCGGAGAAGGGTGACCGCCTCTGTGCCTCGACAAATGCTGCGGCCAAAGCGGAACGTGGCGCGCGGTGAGGCGCATTTTTGTGCCAGGGTTGGTCGAGCAGGAGGAGGAGGATGAGGAGGAGGACCAGTGCAAACCCAAGAGTCACCAACGATGTTGGAACTAACCCTCTCTCCGAGCTCCCTCTTCATAGGCCCCTACAGCGGTTCATTTCCATTGAGGGAACTGCCTCGTTGGAAGACAACCGTTCGAAGACCTTGACGCACATCAAGGGACAGGGAGAAGCAGAGAGAGAGAGAGGGAGATGGTGCATCGCTCTCTTGTTTGGTACCATCAGGAATGGTGGACGGCAGACAACAGCCAACTCGGCGCGGACTCACCTGGGATCGGCTACCGGCGCACCCCGAGCGTGGACGACATCGTCGACGACGAGACGCTCCCGTGGGGCGAGTCCGTCCGTGGTCGACCTGCGGGCGGGGGAGGAGCGTGGCTCCAGGCCGGCGACCGCTTCTCGGAGGTGGGCCAGCTGGAGACAGCCTCCTCCTTCTCCTCCTCCGCCTCCTCCGCCTCCGCCTCCTCCTCCGCCTCCTCCTCCTCCGCCTCCTCTTCATCCTCCTCGTCCTCCGCCTCCTCCTCCAGGGGTCCGGGGCCAAGGGGTCCACCCCCAGGGGCCGTCGGGCTCACAGTTCAAACAAGGAAAACAGCATGGACATTCACCTCCCACCAAACCACCCCAACCCATCCCGAAGGCCTCAACCTGACCTTCCCTACAAGTGGGGGAGGCTCGAGGAACATTGACAAAAACACAGATGGAACCTTTACCCGCCCCAGCCCGAAATTCGGGAGAAGGTCGTGTCTTCGGGTTGGGTTGAGGTGGTCTGGTAGGTAGTCAGACATGAAGTTTCTGAGTTCCGCGCAGATTTCTTGGATCGGCGCTGGAACCCCCCTGGCGCCGCCTCTGGCGCCCAGTGCGCCAGGAAGAGGGGACACTAGCGCCGATCCAAGAGATCTGTGCGAACTTCAGAAGGACTTACAATCGGACCGAGGCATCAGATCGAGGTCGGTGCGGGGAGGGTATCCCAGTGTTCTTCGTGTTTGTTGGATGTTCTTGTGCATCCTGGAGCAGGGTGCCCTTGGATGTTCTGCTGGTTTCGGCCGACGGAGGCCCCCATGTTCTTGAGGGATGTTCTTCGGGCTGTTTTTTGTCTGATGTACGCTTGGATGCTCTGTATGCTTATGCGGCCTTTTCTCCCTCCGCTCCCGGGGCCCCTCCCGGCCCGCTTTCGAGGCGCGGGTCCAGCCGTGGTGGCGAGAGGGCTCCCTGAGGCCCCCCCAAAACATGGAGGGCTCCAGGAGGGCCGCCCCCCTGAGAGCCGACGTTGAGGCAAAACTGATGGGCCTGTTTTCCACCACCGCCACCATAAGTTGGAGGGGGGAAGGAGGATGACGAGGAGGAGGAGGAGGACGGAGAGGAGGAGGAGGATGAGGAGGATAAGGAGGAGGAGGAGGAGGAGGAGGTGGAGGACCCCCTACCCCTCCAACTTATGGTGGTGGTGGTGGTGGAAAACAGGCCCATCAAAATCAGCAAAGTCACGAATAGATGCGACTCGAGCGCTCGATCGGCGACTGCGATGGGCGCGGTTCCACCCGGGCGTGGCTTGCGATCGGCGCCGTTGGGTCTCGGGGGTCGCCACGTTGCGTCAAAAATTTTACGAGCCCTCGTCGGGGCGCGGCGCAGATCTCTGTCGAGGTCCTCGCCCGCCCACCCCAGGCGCGGGCTGCAGCCCACACCCTCTGCAAACCGCACCGGAGTCGCGGACTGGACATTCAGCAGCGCGTTTCGAGAGGTAGATCGACCTGCGATGAGCCGAGGCCCGAAGCTGTGCGAAAGCGACCGATGTGAGACAATTGCCACGCCCAGATCTCGGGAAGTGTCCCCGCGTGACCTGGCTGAATTCCGCTGGATTCAGCGTAAGCACGGACTGAGTCTGGGCTAAGTTGGCTTGAGGGCCCCCCCTCCAGCCGGGCGAGGCAGCGTTCAATCGTGCCCAGGGAGGCTTCCCAGGAGATGCTTGGTAAAGGGGGGCCGCCGCTCTCTCGAGGGCTGGACCTCCCGGACCAGCTTCTCATCCCGAGTCGCCCCTGGCGGTCCTGGGGCACGGCGAGGGCCCAGGCCGCAGAGTGGCAAGGTCTCCCCGCCGTGCTTTTGCCACGGCGCGAGCATGCTCGGTCGTCGGGTCACGCCTCGGGTCTCCAGCGGCCCATTGGGACCATCCGGGCGCCCCCGGAACGCTCTCGGCGAGGCCCGGCCGCTGGAAGGCATCCCGAGGCTGGAAAAGGCCGCCGAGAAGGGACGAACCCGCCCGAAGACCTCAAACCTCGAAGCGACAGCAAAACAGGCAAGTCTGAACTCATCCATCCACCCCCTCCCGCTCCTCGGCGACGCATCTCCACGCCTCCCAAATGGGTCGCAGGACCGCGCCGCATGCCGATGCATCGGTGATGCAGTTCGATGTGGAGCCAGAGTTTCTCCACGCCGATGGCGCGATGCATCGGCGATGCATTGGCGATGCTGCGCTGTCCTCCGACCCCGTCTTGTACGGTAGGTTCGCGTCGTGTCGACCAGCGGCGACCCCGCCGCTGGCGTTGAATGAATGTTGAACGCCGCCGGCGATCCAGAATCGGTCGATGTTGAACGATCTGACGTTTTGGAAACGATCGATCGTTCAAGGTTAAACGATCCCCGCGGTGTCAGCAACCATCGTCAGGGTCGTCATGACACGAACTTGCCGTAGGCCTCTGGCATCGGCGATACATTGAGCTGGAAGCGGCGATACATGGAGCTGGGATCGAGCGGGTCCTGGGGGGCAGGCAGGGGGACATTGCTGCCTGGGGTGGCCCCCCTCCGAGCCTCCTGCCGATGGAGCTCGGCGGCGTGCCCGTGCTGCGGAGGGCCGAGGCCGAACAGGGCGACGAAATCTGTACGGTCGGACCGAGGCATGTCGTTTTCTTATTCATTGTTTTGCCGATCGGCGCGGGACCTCGCACCCCCCTCCCCTTCCCCCCATGGGGTAGATCTTGGCTATTTTTGGCGCCTGTTTCAGGCAGGTGGAGTCTTCCCCATATGACGCACTGTTGCAAACAGTCGCAGTAGTCAGGGGTCCGCAGCCCGACCCCCCCTCCGCCTTCCATCCGCCCAATGTTGGAACGCGAGCCGAATCAGAAAACGTTCACTTATGATATCTAGGTCGATGCGGGGAGGCTACCCGAATGTTCTTCGTGTCTATTGGATGCTCTTGTGCGGGGAAGAGTGCTCTCGCATGTTCTTCAGTTCGGGCCGGCGGAGGGTCTCAGGTTCTGGAAGGACGACCTTCTGTCCTCGGTCCGACCGTACATGTCCACTGCCCCAGGGCTGGCCCGTCCTTCGAGTATCGGGGAAACGTAAGGCTCGAGCTCGCCGGGACCCAGGTTTGCTGACGCTGGATTTGGATGGTCTAGTGTTCGAGGGATGTTTGCAGCGGGAGCCCGCGTCTAATTTCGGAGTGGGTCCTGTGATTTGCCTGACGTCCCCGTAAGGCCAACCCGAGTTCCCCGAACCAGAGTAGTACGTCTCTCAGAGAAACCGAGATCGAATCCATAATGGATTTGCCCAAGCTTTTCTTTTTGTCGAATCTACGACAAACACATACAATGCTCGTAGATCTACCAAGGTGCGACGTATTAGTTCGCACGGTCGACGAAAAACCTGTGGGGGCACGTCAGTTCTGCAGCCGGTCCCCTACTCGAGTCCTGGGCCCAGCAGCGCGCCCTCCGAGCATTGGCCCCGCAGGCACGTGCACCGCTCCTTCGCCCAGGGTTGGCCAGGCCTGAAGATTCAGGGATCGGTACACAGATCCCTTTGCCTACTCACCGAGCGCGTTCCTCCACTCGCAGAGTGCCTACGTACTTGCAAGCGCAAGGAAAGAACACGTGCCTGCTTCGACGTAAAGTGTTGTAATTTCCCCCGCGGCGGATGCAGGCCATTTGCGAGTCGTTGCTCTGCGAGCAGTGGAACGCGCTTGTCCATAATGGATCTGTGCACAGATCTCTCTGTCTGCCGAGGCGCCCGCGGTGGGCGCGGACGCCTCTTCGTGGCTCTGGCCGGCGGCCGCCGCGGCCGCGGCCGCGGGCGCCGTGGCGGCCGCGGGCGCTGTGGCGGCCGCGGGCTCGTCCTGGCTGCGGAGCGAGCCGCCGCCCTCGCAGTGGGTGAGTCGCAGGCTCGTGTTCGAAGGTTCTCGGAGGTTTTTTGGGGCCGCAGGCCTGTCTCGAAGGTCCTCCATCCTCGGGGGTGGACAGACCTCCTACCCTGACACGTCGATTAGCGAATTGGCCGTTTTCGGTTCGCGAGAGGGCGTCGCGGCCGTCATTTTTGCTGGTCCAGGTCCGTCGGTTTCGGTCCCAGGCCGTTTTCAGTAAAGGGAGGTTTACTAAAGGGAGGTTTGTCCACCGCCGAGTCTTGGGTTCGAGGCTCGAGGGCTCGCTGGGTCTCGGCGGGGTCCAGCCTCGGGGCACCTCCCAGCAGCTGCGCCTCGCCGAGAGCGCTCCGGGGGTGCCAGAGTCGTCCCGAACGGCAGCAGGAGACCCGAGTGATGACCCAAACATCTCTTCGACGTGAAGGAAGGGCGAGGAGTAGGAGGAGAGGAACGGTCAGAGGAGAAAGAGGTACCGATGCCGCCGCTCGTCCTGGAGATTCCTCGTCGGCACGGCCGGCTTCACCCCGGAGTCCTGGTCAGAGTGCGCCCCTGCAGAGGTGCGTGGAGTAGCAGTATCAGTACCATTTGGTTCCCCCGAGGCAAGTTGTTCCGCCATCTGGGACGCTTGTCACAAGGAGGCCGGGAAGTTGTTTTTCCCCCGACGGTGGCGCGTCGGTTTTCAAATTTTCCAGCCGCCCTGGGACGTGCGCTCCCGATAGCGGAAGCGCTCGTGTTCTACCTTTTTCCCGCTGACAGGCAACAGGCCGTCCAGCCGAGCCACGACGATCCCTCCGTCAGGTGCGTCGCCGTGAGGTTGAAGAAGAGAGACCCCCGGGGGACCCTGATATCCTGGCGTTATGATTTCGTCAGGCTGGGCGTTTTTGCCGAGCTTCGGGTCCCTCGACCATCACATATTGGTCTGGTTCGAAAGATGCTGAGGACAGATGGGGTCTAGGGCTCTGGTTGTGGTGTTTTCACGATCCGGAGAAAATGGGATCCACATACAACCTTGGAGCGCCGACAGTTTATGCTTCTACCGACTTCAGCTCCTACAGTCCAGGGTTCGGGTCGTGACCCTGTCGCAACGTTTTCCTCTTGTTCGCAAGGTCGGATCTCAGGGGAGAGGGGAACCCTGCAGCCTCTTTCGCTGCCACTGGGCCCCCCCCACCCCTGGCCGCTCCCGGGGTCCCCACGGGACCTCCCAGAAAGTACGGCTCGGGACGAGGAGGCGGTCCCAGAGGAAGCCCAGCGCCTTCCAAGAAGCAGCCTACCCCTCCGAAACCTTCCCCCCTCTCCCTACCACCCTGCGCGCGCCGCAAATCAGGTGGGGGGGTACATCGACCTGCGCTCGTCCATTCATTGCCGACAGGGGCCCAATGGCCCACCCCCGCGAGGAGCGTGCGCATTCGCAATCTATCGACGATGCACCGCCGATGCCAGCTCGATGTGTCCCCCCCATGAGCCGCCCCCCCACCCCCTTACGTTTAAGTCGGGCGTGTCCCTCTACAGGAGGAATATTCAAAAATAGAAAAGAACATGTCTGGGGACGATGTTTGACTACTTTTGACAATTTTGGGAGCATTTTTCTAGTATGTTTAATGTTTCGTCCAAAATCCCCCTGTAGGGGGACATGCCCGACCTAGCCTCATGTTGCCCCCGCATGACAAGGTACGGCCATGTGTACCACCGGGGCGCCAAGAGGGGGGAGCACGCCCGGCAGCACTACTACAAGTACGTGGGCGAGGGCCAGGGCGAGTTCCAGACGCAGGAGCTGCCGAGGGGCGGCCGTGGGGGCGTCGCGGAGCTCTGGTGGCTGCTCATACCTTTGTGCTGCTGCTGTGGACGCCTGGGGCAGGAAAGCCCAAGGCCTGAGATCTCGGCGTTGCATTTTTGTTCGCATTGGGCGTTTTCGCTGCGTTTCGGGCCCCGGGGCCATCACAGATCGATCTGACTCGAAACGTACCACGGATGGATGTGGTCTCGGGTTCGCGTCGTGGTTTCTGTTGACGGCGTTTCTCGACGTCGGATCTCAGGGTATTGCACGTGTGCATTTCTCAAGCGCCCCTGCCTAGGGAAGCATGAGGATCGGATTATCCTGACACCCAGTTCTTACGCAACAGCCGACAACGCATGTGACCGTACAAGAATCGGTGACCGAAAACGTGCCCGAAATTGTCCAAAATCGTAGCGACGTAGTGCGACCGAAGTATGACCAAATTGGGCATCGCGTTGTTTTCGAATCGAGAATTTTGGTCACACGGTGGCGCGTTCGGAAAAGCAAATTGGGCACCAGTGTCGGTCACCCACGGGCAGATTTTCGGGCACGGTTTCGGCCACCGCGCCCCCCTGATGAAGACGAGGTTGCTTGAGGGTCTTGGCCCACGCGGGGGCAGACGGCTGCTGGAGTGGCTCCTGACGACGCTGCCACGCCCAAGCTGGCAGCCCCAAACTCCACGCCCAAGCTGGCAGCCCCAAACTCAGCACACCCCTACCTGAGAGGACTGGCCAGGTGGGGAGGAGGACGAATGTTTATGGTACGGTCGGACCCGGGTATAAGATCGCGATGTCGTTTCGGGGAGGATGCCCTAATGTTGTTCGTGCTTGTTGGATGTTCTTGTGCATCCTGGGGGAAGGCACCCTCGAATGTTATTCGGTTTGGGCCAGCGGATGGTCTCATGGTCTTGAAGGATGTTCTTCTGTCGCTCGTGTCGTCTCGACCGGCGGCGACCCCGCCGCTGGCGTTCAATCTTAAACGCCATGGGGGAAACGGGTCACACGGGAAACGGGTCCTGAGATTTTTCGCCTTGTTCGGGCTCTGGAGGCTTTCCACAGGCCCCGGGACTGTCAGAAAACGGCTCAGGATGAAGAATTGGTTTTGGGGGAAGGTCCCAGGGTCCAGAACCTGTTTCCCTCAGGACACGGTTCACCCATGTTTATTCGAGTGCCGCCAGCGACCCATAAGCGGTCGATGGTTAAACGATTTGGCGTTTCGGAATCGGCCGATTGTTCAAGGTTGAACGATCCCCGCGGTGTCAAGAACCAACCCCATGGGTCGACGCAACACGAACCCATGGTATGGTTTTGGCGTGCCCAGACCCCCTAAGTCGTGATTTTGTTCGTGATGTCGACCCCAAGAAGTCTCGACCCATTCATTCTGAGTCGCTTGTTGACGGTCTTGGGGCCCGGCGAGGGTCCCCAGAGGCAGGAAAGTATAGAAGCACTTCCCATCGTGTTTTTTTATGACCCGAGGGGGTCTGGGTTCAGGAGCGCAGGGAGGACGTACACGTACATGAATTCGCGCTGGTTTCGAGAGTACGCATAGCGCGAATGTGCGTATCTTGCGGCAGACCTCGCGGATTGGGGGGGGCCGCGTTCATGCACGTGGTGGGCGCGTACGTCTTTTGTGGGATCCCCGTGGGCATCGTCCTTCTGGAGAGGATGGGTGCCTCTGCTGACGCTGATACGCAGCGGCATGGGAGGCGGTGCGGCCATGGCCCCGGCGGCCGCCCATGTGCCGTCCGCCGAGCTGGGGTTCGACTGCGACGTCGGGTACTCGAGGGCGCGGGACGAGTACACCTCCGTGGGACTGGACGCCAGGGGTCGAACGACATCTCGTCGAGGATAAAAGAACCCCTAGCCCTAATGACATGGTGAGGACGTGGCCTCACCGAGGCCCCCCCGTCTTTGCACTAGAATGAATAATGGCGGTCTGGCTTGGTACATCTGCATCTGCAGAGAGACCCCCGATCTCCAATGTTTTTGGCATCCTAATTTGGGCGGCCTCCCAAAGGATTGGGGGTCCTCCTAGTGCTACTCGATCTCACCGCCCACCAGACTGCCCCAACCCAACCCGAAGGCCCCAAGTTGCATTTGCCCTCCACTCCCAGCCGAAGGGGGCGTCGAGGAGCATCGACGAAGACACGTGTGGAACCCGTACCCCCCCCCAACCCGAGATTTGGGTCTTCGGGTTTGGTTGGGGTGGTCGGCCAGGTAGTCAACAACGGTCGAGCAAGGACACATTGCAGATCGGAGGTTGGCAGACGACGTCGATGAGCGAATCGGCCGCTCTCGGTTCGCGAGAGGGCGCCGCGGCCGTCGTCTTTTTTGCGGCTCCAGGTCCGTCGGTTTCGGTCCTGGGCCGTTGTCACGAAAGGGGGGCTTAATGACCGGAGGCTTGGCCACCGCCGAGCCCAAAGACGGTCAACATCGGCCAACGTCGGCCCTTGCGGATCTCTCGGCTCTGCGCTCTCCCCCCCCCCCCCTTGGCGGCGTCTCACGCGCCGCCCCAGGCACGCTCCGTGAGCCAGGGAGTGGAGTCCAGCGCGGATCCAGGAAGTCCGCGCGAAGCTCCGAGATGTTGCGCGATGCCCATGCGGCCGCTGGTCCCTCCAGAGTCAGAAGGGGGGCAAGGCCCAAGCCTTCTCCGAAGCTTCGCCGCCTCCTCTCGGGCCTGCCCCTCCTCCATTCAGGGGCAACGATTGGGGGGGATAGGCATAGGGGGGAATACATCGTTCCCGAATCGCCCATTGATCGCCGATAGGGGCCCGATAGCCCCAACCTGCACAGGAAGGTGCGGATTCACTATCGGGAGCCTATCACCGATCTATCGGCGATGTATCGCCGATTCCAGGTCGATGCATCCCCCCGTATGCCAGTCCCTCCCTATCGTTGCCCCTCCTCTTGCCCCCCTCGGCGCGCCGCCGAGGGCAGAGTCTTCGCGAGCACAGACTCTCGAGGGGTCCGCGCGAATCTCTCGGGTCGGCGCCGGACGCCCCCTGAGGCGGCGCCTCCTGCGACGCCCCTGCCGTGCTTTGCGCGCCGCTGGAGAGCCCATCGCTGCCTCCAGACGTTGGAACGCGGATGCAGTCAGTCCAGATGAGCAGGTCGACCCTGCCAAAACAAGGGTGCCCTTCTGTCCTGTGTCTCGCGACCCATGCCTCCTGCATTCCTGTGGCAGTGTGGCCCTCGGAAGGGTCTTTAGTCCTCTCGCGTGTCCTGCCCAATCAAGTCCGACTGTAACGCGGATACAGACAGTTGTTTTTTTTTTCTGGCTTGCCCCTGGGGAGGGAGGGAATACGTGCAGATGGTCGGCGCACGTCCCCTCGAGGATCGTCGCCACGGCGCGTCGCCTCCGGGGGGCCCTCGTCGCCCCGGGTGGATCCGCCTCGAGACCGGTGGTCCTGACGCACCCCTGGAGAGGTCCCGGGGAGTGGCAGCATCGGTGCATCGCTACCGCCCCACCCCCCAGGGCGCGCGCAAGTGGTGCTGCGACCACTACGACAGAGGGTGCCAGCACGAGCAGGGAGGCCCAGAAGAGGAGGGGTACGACTGCAGCAAGGGCGTTGACAGGTGGAGGGAGGCGTGGTCATCGGACAAGCAGTCCTGGTGCTGCGAGCGGGAGGGGCGAGGCTCGAAGAGGATACAACTTGCGTCAGCCTGCGCTCTCCGAGTTCCGCGTGGATCTCTTGGATCGGCGCGGCGCGCGGGGGCGCCTCCAGCGGGGGGCCGTGCGCGGATCCAAGGAATCCGCGCGGAGTTCCAGCGTTTTTCGCTTATGCCGTTTTTCGGCGGCGAGCGAGGGGGGAAGCGAGAAGGAAAAGGCCTTCTCAGAAGGCGGCGGGACTCCTCAGCAGCCCTCGGGCCTTCAAGCGTCTTCGGGGAAGGCTTAGAAGACTTCTGAGAAGGACGGGAGACTTCCGAGTCTTCTGATAAGGCCGTCTCCTTCTCATTTCCCCCTGGCTCGCCGCCGAGTTTTACCTTCTTCTGGAGGTTGCCCGCCCACAACAACGTCGACCACGGAGTACCAATACAACTGCTCCGACGTGGCGCCCGGCTGCCTGGAGTGTATGGAGGCGGAGTGGCCAAAGGAGAAGGCGAAGTGGTGTTGCTTGAGGATGGGGCTGGGATGCGGCGTGATCGAGCCCCAGAAGGTTCGAGGCTAAGGAAACGGAAGAAAGGGAACTTCTAGCTACTGCCTCTGGGGGATCTCGCTGGGCTCCAGAACCGTCACACCGCTGCTCGGGGTGAAGAGCTGGTCCAGTGGAATTGGTCGAGCCATCCACGGGTCAGCCGAAGAGCAAAAATGCACGAAGATGGATCTTCGACGGTCCGCGCGGATTTCTTGGAACGGCGCCAGTGCCTCCCTGGCGGTGCCTCCAGCGCCGCCCTTGGGAGGGGGTCCAGCGCCGATCCGAGAAATCTGCGCAGGGGTTCCGAAAGTTTGTGCCGTTGCGTGCGTTGTGCTTTCTTTTCTTTTGGAGGTGCGGTTCGACTGCCAGGCCGGGTACGACCGCTGGAAAACGGGGTGGTCCCCTCAGAAGAAGGAGTACTGCTGCAACACGACTGGCGTCGACTGCGACGAGGTCGACGAGTCCCCGAGTGCGACCAGCTCGAAGGCCGACCATGACCGTGGCGCGGCGGCCGAGGCCACGACCACGACGACGATGATCGTGGTGGGCTCGCGCACCTGCAAGGACCGGAGCGGAGTGCCGCCTCTCCTCTGCTCCCGCCTCTCCGTCCTCCCCTTCTGCGTCCTCCGTAGTTCCGAGAGCTTGGATTTGCAGGGTGTGCGGCGTCTTCGGTGTCGAGCAGCTCCGTGGCCCTGCATCCGAGTGCGATCCCCAGTTCTTCCCCCATCTCGGCGGCGAGCGAGGGGGGGAACTGAGAAGGGGCGGGCCTTCTCGGAAGGCTCGGAAGTCCCGCAGCCTTCTGAGAAGTTCCCGGAGCCTCCCCAGAAGGCCCGAGGGCTGCTGAGGAGGCCTTCTCCTTCTCGCTTCCCCCCCTCGCTCGCCGCCGAAAAACGGCATAAGCGAAAAGCGCTGGAACTCCGCGCGGATTCCTTGGATCCGCGCACGGCCCCCCGCTGGAGGCGCCCCCGCGCGCCGCGCCGATCCAAGAGATCCGCGCGGAACTCGGAGAGCGCAGGCTGATGCAAGTTGTATCCTCTTCGAGCCTCGCCCCTCCCGCTCGCAGCACCAGGACTGCTTGTCCGATGACCACGCCTCCCTCCACCTGTCAACGCCCTTGCTGCAGTCGTACCCCTCCTGGTCGTGCTGGCACCCTCTGTCGTAGTGGTCGCAGCACCACTTAGGGCCGCGTCGGGTTTCTGGACCTTGCGAACCCCGCGGGCCATGGCAGCCCCGCGGGCCCCGGGGCCGCCATGGGCCCCTATGGGGCGTGTTTTGCTTTGCGAGCCCCATGGCCAGCGATTTCGGTGAGCAGTGCGAGCCACCTCGCGTTTTGCAGACTCCGCTGGGCCGCTCTGCCCCCGCAGGGGAAGGGCCCCCGACTTTTCCAGTGAGATCTTGGTGCCGGTGCCGGCTTTTCGTCCCCGGCAACCCTCGGAAAGCCGGCGCCAGTACCAAGGCCCCCGCTGGAACGGCGGATGGAGCGGAGCCCCTCGACGATTGGGAAGTTGGCCAGGGCCTGTGGGCCCGGGTTAAAAGGGCGCCACGTTCTCGGGCCCTGGACGCGCAGGGCAGCCACGGCCCTCCCCCGGCGCGGGGGGTAAGCGGTGGAATCGGAATCGTCGGGTGCCGGCTTCGGGTTTGAAGAGTGTCAAGGATGCGGTGGGCAAGGGGGCGGGTGGGAGGAGGGGGAAGAGGCGGGGAGGGGGACCAAACCAGTCGGGGGAGGCCCATACGACGGTTGCGGTGGAGTTGGATGTTTGGGTCATGGAGGAAGCCGCATCCTTCCTTCTGGTCCCCCCTCTTCCGAAAACGCCCGCCAACTTCGCTTCTCGTCTGCACTTACTGTTTCCTGCTCTCCCCCCTGCGCGCTGCGCGATGTTCCTCTCCCCCCCTCCCTCGCCCACCGCGACTCAGCTGCCGCCCCGGTTCGAGAAGTTTCGGGCTTTGTACTAGGTACAACGAGCCTTTCTCGGGGCGGGCAGCCACGCGCGCTGGCCCGCGCCCGCGCCACGGGCGTGCGGGTCCCGCCGCGCCGCCGCTGCACCGCCGTGCGCGCCTCGGGCGTGCGTGCCCCGCCGCGCCGCCGTGCGCGCCTAGGGCGTGCGGGCCACGCCGCGACAGCAGGGCAGCGAGCCAGCGTGGCACAGATGGGCTCGACAACAGCGTGCACAGGCACGTCTGGTGCTGCGGCTGGTCAGCGCCGCGAAGTGTCTCGCAACTCACCACAGCGCCATGGCGGGGCAGGCCAGAGGCAAAGGCGGCGGAGGGAAGGGTGGTCAGCAGTCCCCACCGTCCCCGCCACCCCCCCGTGGTGGTGTCCAGCATGCGTGCAATGCCGCCTGCGACCTGATGTGCAGGACCTGCTACCCGCTTCCACAGCATCAGCCAGGCAGCGGACAGCAGCGGCAGCAGCAGCAGCACGCAGCGGCGGGCAGCGGGAGAGATCAGCACGGAGGAAATGGACGTGACCAGCGGCGGCGGAGGCGTGTTTCAAGGCCAGTGCACAGCAGCGCTCGCCCCAGTCGTCAACGCAGCCCGAGCCGTCCTCCGCCGCCGGCCCAACCCCATCAGCGAGATGGCGAGCCTGCGGAGGAACCAGCCCCAGAGGTGCCCTCCCGTCGCCAGTCATCCCGCTGGCGCTCGCCAGCCACCGACGTCACGTTCGACGAGAGTGAGCCTGAGTCGACCGAGGAGACGGCGGATCGTCCAGAAGGACCACAGGGGGCCTTCGGTGTGTTCCCTGCAATGCCAGAGCAGGCGCGTGCGCACTCAGCCTGGGTGCAGCCACCGACGGACCCTGCCGCCTTGGTCAACCACAGGCGCAATATCCGCCGCAAGGCGGTGGCTTCGGCAAAGATGCTTCGCGCGCCACGCGAGCTCGGCCTGCCGACCGGCATCCTCGAGGCGCAGGAGCAGAAATACTCAGTCCTGATGACAATGATCATCGTGGCCAGGACTCCGGAGGCGCGCCTGGCGAGGCAGCGGGCGCTCGTCGAGCGTGCCCAGCACCGCTCAGATCGTGCAGAGAAGGCGGCGCACGAGGCCATGATTGAGCACGAGGCTCGCCAGCTGGTCCAAGTCTTGCTGCAGCAGCTCGAGACCCTCTCCCCGTTGCCAGCGGTCGCCGATGACGTCGAGACGCAGGGCGCCGCATCGCCTGTGGCGGAGGACGCGGCGCCCGCAGCGCCCGCGGCGACGGCGCCCGCCCAGATTCCAGGCGCCTCGGTCGCAGCCATCGCCGAGCTCCAGCAGGGACAGGCGAGCACGGCGCAGCAGATCGCGGGGCTGGCCACGGCCCCGGGCGGGCTGCAGTCGGCACTGACGCGGGTCACGGCGGCAGCGAGCATGGCGGCGACTACTGCTGCGACGACCCCAGCCACACAGCCAGCTGCTGATGCCAATCCTGCCCCAGCTGCGCAGCCTACGCAGCGCGTCGCCGCAGTGCCACAGGCTGCTGCTACGCGGCCCCCTGCCGCAGCGCGTCCCCCGACAACGGCAACTCAGCTCCAGGCACAGGCAGCGACTGACGCGGCGGATGCAAACAAGGACGAGAACGCCACGGCAGATGCCAGTCAGGCTGCGTCGGATGAATGCAAGGCGGCTCGCCAGGCGCGCGCTCGCGCTGCTGCCGAGGCTCGCGCGAAGGCGGCGGCGGGCGGGAGGGCGGCCCTGCAGGCCCGGGGCATGGCGGCCGTTGTGCAGCCCACCCTTGAGACAGTCATCGCGGCGTCGAGTTTTGTGGCGACTCCAGGAGGCGTGCTTCCACGCGTGGTGCCGGGCGAGGAGCGCCCCGAGCCGGCGGGTAGAGAGGGGTCAGCAGGTGGCGGAAGCCGCGAACGCAGCCCGCGCCGCACGAACGCGGGCGAGGTTCGCGCTGGCCTGAAGTCGGGCCTGCTCCCCTACAGGGGGATCTTCGACGAATTCAAAAATGCTCCAAACATATTCAAGACATATTCCAAAATAGTATGGGGGCTATGTTTTGCGTATTCTTTATGACCTTCTTGAGGTATTTTGGTGTATTTTTATTTTTTCATCGACAATCCCCCAGTTGGGGGGCGGGCCCGACATAGCGCAGGCTAGAGTTCTGAGGGCGAAATCGACGTGACGCAGGCGAGCCCGTCGCAGAAGGGGTGGGCCAGCTTGCAGAGCCGCTCGGTGCCAGTGGGCATCAGCCCGCGCGGGCCCCGAGCGCCGCGGCTCTGCCGGGAAGGGGCACTCAGCCCCGTCTCTTGTTTCTGACATGCAGCCCGTCAGTCCAGTTCCCGATTGCGGCAACTCAGCAGCATTTCTCGCGGCCCACTGGCAAGACGCAGTGCTCCCTCCCATTTTCTCTCTCCGTTCTGTCTCCAGCTGCCGTCCTAGTTCGAATGGTTTCGGGCGCCGTACCTTGCGCGGCGAACCTCTCTTGGGGCGGGCAGACGCGCGCGCCTGCCCGCGCCCGCGCGTCGGGCTCGCCAGGCCATCTCAACTTCCCCACTCCCCTGCCTAGCCTTCAGCTTGCTGTCGTCGGGGCCGGGGGTGGGATTGGCACGCGGGCGGGGGCGGAGTTTCTATCGTGGCGTTGGGGCAGGCGCTGGCCGCATGTCGAGCGTGCGAAAATCGTGCACTCCCGCTGGCCCCATCCCCCCGCCCCCGCCCCCCAATCAGCTGCCATTTCGTCAGCCTCTCTTGCCTCTTGGTGCTTCTTTTTCGTTCGATCTCTAGCTGCCGCCCCAGGTCGAGAGGTTTCGGGCGCCGTGCCGGGCACGGCGAACCTCCATCGGGGCGGTCAGACGCGCGCGCAGGCCCTGCCCGCGCATCGGACAAGCCAGGCAGTTTCACCTTCCCCACTTCCCCTGAGTATAGGTTTGTTGGCGGGGGCGTAGTTCGCACTGCGGCGATGAGGTAGGCATGAGACACAGGTCGAGCGTACGAAAATTGTACAGTCCCGCTGGCCCCTGCCTCGCACACGCCCACTTAGCTCCCCTTTCGGCCTTTGCAGGCTATCTCACCTGCCCCCCCTCCTTGATCAGCCTCCTCTTGCCTTTTCCCTACCCCAGTTGCGTTGCAATGCGCCTTTAACGCCTTCCGACGATATGGGGGTGGTACGGGTTAGGTGATGGGGGCGGGGAGATTCACCAAACCTTGGCGCCCGTGCTGCTAGATACCGCATGTTTTTGCCAGCAGCTGGTGAGTGCCGCGCCAAGCTGGCCGTCTCCTCCGCGAACCAGGGCGCAATCCAAAATCCCCGCGACTCCGAAGGCCAGCGCGGTTTCACGTTGTCCCAACTCGTTATTTCATTTTTATGAAGCGAAAAACTGTCTCGGTGCCGGCTCTGGCTTTTTGTTTCCCCAAAAAAGAGGAGGCAGTCACAACAAAGCCCGGCCCAGAGGAATGGTCATCCTCGGGAATGTGGATATGCCAGCTGGACGTCGCTCGGACGTGTGCATGTCGTTCGGCGGCGACCGTCCACGAGAACCTTGGGCCGCCCTTCGAGAAACGACGGGCACGAGACCGAATAATGCACGGGGAATGAACGTCCGAGAATTGCATGTGGTTTTGGAGGCAGTCTGCTGTAGCAAGGAACGTTCGCCTCC